TAGGTTCCACTTCTTAAAGGTGATTGGTTAACAGAGCTTCCCCCACTCCCCGCATTATTCAAGGGTTTTAATAGTATACCGAGAACAACTTGGTTGAGCATAAAAATAAAAGATCTGTTTTTTTTAAATATTTATTTATTTATTATGTATACAATATTCTGTCTGTGTGTATGCCTGAAGGCCAGAAGAGGGCACCGGACCTCATTACAGATGGTTGTGAGCCACCATGTGGTTGCTGGGAATTGAACTCAGGACCTCTGGAAGAGCAGGCAATGCTCTTAACCTACTGTTTAATTAAAACAAAGCATCGCGAAGGCCCGCGACGGGTGTTGACGCGATGTGATTTCTGCCCAGTACTCTGAATGTCAAAGTGAAAAAATAAAGAATCTGTCATTGTCAGATGGTCCAAGTGTCCCAGAGTCTTATTGATGAAGATCATGGTGTTGACGGTGCAGAGGGGGGTCCTTGTGTTGACAGTGCTGATGGATTTTTTTTGTTTGGCACAGGCCTGTAGTCTCATCCACTCAGGAGGCTGAGACAGGATATTTACAAATTCAAGACTAGCCTGGGAAAGTTAAGACCTTGTAACAGAATAAAATATAGGAGGGGCTGAGGGTAGTCCAGTGGTAGAGCACCTGTCTAGCATGTGCAAAGTCCTAGATTGATTTTTTAGTTTAATTTTTTAATTAAAAAATTTTAATTTAATTTTAATTTTTTAAAAGGTATAAGCCCTGTATTCTTAGTACTGTCACAAACTAAGTAATAGTAGGTAAGACATAATGATCTCTTTCTTGGGGACAGAGCCTCCCAATACTCCCCACAAGTTTGTGGACTACCAAAGAGGTGATTAGCAGCTGATTAGGAACAGACACATGTAACATGAGGGTCTGTTTGTTGGGGTTTCTGTTCTGCCCTATTCCCACAGCCAATAAGATCCCAGAGAAATTACAGAGGTCGCCATAATTTATAAACTGATTGGCCCATTAGCTCAGGCTTCTTATTAACTCTTGTAACTTATATTAACTTATTCTTATCTATGTTAGCCACATGGCTCAGTACCTTTTTCAGCGGGACAGGTCACATCCTGCTTCTTTGGTGTCTGGACAGGACTATGGAGAAAGTTTCCTTCTTCCCAGAATTCTCCTGTTCTCATTGTCCCGCCTCTACTTCCTATCTGGTTATCCTGCCTATACTTCCTGACTGGCTACTGGCCAATCAGCATTTATTTAAAATGCAATTGACAGAATACAGAATTGTCCCCACCAGACACGCAGGAACTTTCCAGGCTCATGTGTCACTGTAAGGATTCTGAGAAGTCGGTTCAGTTGCTGGAATTGGAGAGGCACAGGAATGAAATGGAGCCTGAGCTCCTGCCTTCCTGGTGCCTTTGAGAGCACAAGACCTGCCTATCTCCAGACCCAAGAGTTCCCCCTTGTAGATATCCACCTGCTCCTCGCTCTGCTCCCGTCCTCCAGGTCTTCTCTTCTGTCCTCTCTGCCATGACTTCTGCTGCTCTTTAGCTTCTTCTTCCACCAGGAGCAGCATCCCTCTGTGTCCTCCGGTTATATGAAAGTCAGACCTGCTGCCTCCTCTCGTGATGGTAATGGCCAGAGGAGGTAGAGAGAGGGAGAGACTAGAGAGAGCAGCTAAAGGGGTTCTGGGATCCTGGACACCAGAAGTACTATTTGTAAAGTGGGAGGATGGACAGAGGACCAGCTGGGGGCGTTAGGTCAAAGGTAAGACAGCAAACTTGGGTTTGAAAGGCACCCCAAAGTGTAGAAGACTGCAAGGGCATAGTTTCTATGCATACTTACCTCGAAGGGTTCAAAATCAAATAGTGGTTTAGAAGATACTGAGTGACAGCTCCCCAAAGTCTAAGGACATATTTGAGAGTGGGAAGAGTCATGATGGAGAACAAGGGGATGATGACAATCTGTACCTGGATTGGTTCCCTGTGTGTGTGTATGCCCAGTCCATCTGCCAGCCTGTGGACCAGCATATGGACCCACACCGGTCCATCCAGTCAACTAGACATCAGGGTTCTGGAGTTCCACAGCCCGACACACAGTTCCCATACCTCCAGCTGCTGCCTGGCATCTTCTGAACCCCATCAGTGTTTGGGGAGTCCACACTCCTTGAGTGACATTTGCTTAAGGAACTACTGCTCTGGCTTCAGAGGGGCTAGGTGATGAGTGGTATGGAGCTCTGTCTTGTCCCCTTCTTGCCAGACATCCTGGTGACACTGGTAGTGGGGAGGGCGCTTCCAGGTGCACAAGGTCCCTGGACTGATATGACCTTCTCAGGACACTGTCAGAGAAGACTCCTATGGTGCCAGTGTCCAGGAGCCCATTTCCCTTCTACTGTGGCAGTGAGAAACTTCTTGTCTCTGTTCCCAGAGCCCTTGAGCTCTTTGTGTCTTTGGAGGATGGCAGACGACAGAGTACAGACCCTGGATTCTCAGGCAAGGGTGGATAAGACATGATAATCTCTTTCTTTGGGACAGAGCCTCACTCCTACCAAGGCTGTGAACTACCAAGGGGGTGATCAGCAGTTGACTGTGAGTCCAGTGTCATGTAAGTGGCCAAGTGCTGGGCACGGATGTGTATTAGGGTCGTCATCGCCACCTTCATCCCAAGAGAGGACCTAGGAGGAGAGGCACCCACCAAAGCTCCACAGGTGATGAGGACAAAGACGCAGCTGGGTGTGTTCTCTGTGTGCCCCTCCAGAGGGATCCTTGCTGTACCCATTAAACAGAAGGCCTTGCCTAGGAAGGACTTAGCTGGTGGAACATCTCAGAAGGGAATAGAATTTTAATTACATAAGCTGCTATATTTTGTGTCCTGGGGGTTGTGTCACAATTGACTGGATCAGGGCAATAACTCACCCCCTAGTGAAGCCAGTCTATAGGATGCCAAGTGACCCGTACAACAAATGGCCAAATGGATTCTCTTGCTCAAGAACAGACTGCTCTGTGGCTTGGTGCTGTAGGAGCAAGGCAGGGGACAGTGGGACTGAGGGCCAGTGTGGTGGTGTCCAGCCCAGAGTCCTCAAAAATGTTTTTTTATATAATCATAATCCACAAAGCAGGTGCTATTCCTTTGCTATTTTGCAGATGAGAAAGCAGGTACAGAGAGGGTTAAGCATCTTGCTCAAGGCCACCCAACCAGTGGAGGACAAAGAGAGGTTCCAACTCAGTTAGTAACTACAGTGTCACTGTCCTGCCTCTGTCAGGGTAGGATGGAGGCCATGGCTGCTTTAGTCCCAGGTCTCTTGTTTCCCAGTGCTTGACCTACGGCTCCTTGGAGCAACTGTTGCCTGGTGCATTACCTTCAGGGAACCCATTGTCTTTACAACCAAAAGCACTTGGTGACAATTCCAGAGGATCTCTGGCAGGGCACAGTGGAGACTTTCCAGGCATCTCCCTAGACCCCTAGGCTCAGCATTGTGGGGTGGGCAAGTGGGAGGCTTGTTTAGTGGGAGGATTCCCAAGGCCAAGAGACATTTGCATGGTGATGATATTTGAGTCCCGGGTCAGGGTACGGTACAACAATGAACACTTTGGTACCCAAAAAAGAGTTGGAGTGATGACAGCTGAAATTCCATTCATATTCGTGTCTACAGATTGGCACTGTTAATTCAGACACCCACATGTGTGTCGGGGGGTATGCCTTAGAAAGTGGTGGGTGGGCTTGAGGCCCAGAGCGAAGCAATGCAAGGCGCGTCTCAAGCCTTGTCCTCAGACTTAGGCAGACTTATGTCCCCTTCTGCAGGCACAATGGGCTTGCATACAAAACTGACTTTCTTGTTCTCCAGTGAGGGCTGTCAGCACAGGGTCTGTGCACTGAATGGGGTAGGGCGGGGGTGTCAGGAAATGCCCAGATTCGGTGAGTCTCCACTGCCTGACCCTCCAACATTTCCTGAGTTCCAGGTCAGCAGGGCAACACTTTCTCAAACGGAAGGCTGAGCCTCCGCCCTTCCCTCTAGCCTCTCTCCAGACTGGCAGACACCACCACTGTGTCTATGGCAGCCCTTAGGGCCGAACATTGAAGGCTCAGGCATGTAACAAGTAACATGAGATCCACTGTCAGTCACTAGAGTGTGCGTGCTGCCCAAGGAAGAGCTAGGAAGGTGGTCCGTGGTCCGCAGAGCTGGACCTTCATATGCAATACCTGCAATCCTAGCACCTGGGAGAGACAAGGGGATCAAGAGTTCAAGGTCATCTTGGCTATTTCCTGACTTCAGGCCAGCATAGGCTACATGAGATCCTGCCTTTGAAGGAAAGTGGAGAGAGGGCTGGGGATGTCGTTCAGTGGTAGCAGGCACATGCATGCTTGCCACGCTTAAGGGCCTGGGTTCAATGTACAACCCCACTACTGAATGGGGGAAATCTCAAAAACAGTTGGGCTCCCCCAAAAGCCCTTCTTCTCTAGGCTACCAATGCCATGTTACAAGGTCACCGTAGAAGTAGGGACGGAGGGTGATTGCAGTGAGAGCCTGGGACAGTAGAGGGCACTGGGAAAGTCACATAATGGCTGTCCTTAAAGTATGGGGTGGCGGGGTGCAGTGTTGGGGCTGTCTGCCACTCTAGGGTGCAGGAGGCAATCCCTCGGGGTCATGATAACTCAGAGCCTCCCTGAGAACTCACATCATTCTTTGAACAATTTTGGTGCATGTTTTGTAGTAGATTAACTTGTACTTTTATAATTATATAATTGCTGAGGTATAATTACTTCAGATGCATTATTGTGAGCTTCTCAGCCACAGGTCCATCTGGATGTGGCCCAATCACCCCCAATCCTAGAGGTTCACAGCTCACCCCGCAAGGCTCTCCTCTTGGAGATCCAGACCTTGGAGGCTGGCCTTCTTTTTCACTGCCTCACCCCTCCTCCACCACCTTCCCAGGTTCCAAGTGCAGCCTTCAGAGCCTCTCCTCTGATGCGACCCTCCTCTCCACTGTACTGCATGCCAGAAGAATGAACACACTGCTTCAGACAGTCCAGTTTCCCCTTCAAGGGTCATTTATTCAGTTTCCAAGGTTACTGGGCCCTGTCCCCCATGGCCTCCAAAGACGGAACACTTAAGTCAGAATGCATTTGGTGTCTTTCCCACTGCTCAGACTAACCATCTCTTCAAGATAAACCAATAGTATCTGCTTAGTTTTTACTCTTTTTCTAACAGAATTCCATAAAAATATAGATGTTTAGCATATATATCTATCCATATTTATATACACACATACACATAGAGACCTTCAACCAAGAGACCAAGGACCGAATATCTTCCCTCTGGCCTGGGGCTGTGACCAGGGGATACCAGCTCCCTGGGGACAAGAGGGGACATGCAGTGCTAAGGCAGTAAAGGATAAAGCCAGGCTCCAATGGTCTGCTCCATCCAGGAAGCTGTGCTGGCCATGGTAAACCAGGCAGCTCTCAACACCCTACGTTCTCAAGCGAGAGCAAGGTGAAACTGAGGGAGACCCAGCCAGAGTGCAGGGGAGAGGGGGACTCTCTGCCACACCATGGGGGACAGTTCCTAAGGGAAGTTCCAGAGGCAAAATGGCCGGCTGACAAGTCAGCGAGGGACATCTGCCTGGCCCCTGGCCCTATCCCCATCCTCCTCCATCCACCCAAGCACGGGCTCTGTGGGGCTCTGGAAGAGGGGAGCTTAAAGACCAAGCTGGGGTATGGGTCACTCAACAAAGCCCAGCATGAAAACTGGGCTGGGAATGAGGATGTGTATTGGGGGAAGTCCTAGAAACTGTCACTTCCATGTCCCTCACCCCAGAGGGACCTGCACTGCAGGGAAAGCCTTGAAGAAATGTGCACTCAAGGCACTAGAAATGGCTAGGTCAGAACCCTGCTTTGTATTTCAAGGCCTACCCTAGAGGCCATTGGTATAAGGCACATGGAGGCTGCTGGCTGGGGCATGTTTCCAGGGAGACGGGAGTGGTGAAAATGGAAGCCTTTGGGAGGCCTGGCCTGATATGAGCCCCAAAGGCACTTGGTGGCACACAGAAAGTACCCGTAGCTCTCAGGAAACCTCCCCACAGAGGCAACACTGGGCATCAACGGTGCTAATTCAGTCTCACAGGAACCCAGGAGCCCACTTTCCTCCCTGTATCCGGGACCTCAAGCTGTGGCTGTCCTGGGCAAGGCCCAAGAACAATCTCCAAGCTTGCACTGCCCTGGGATTGGATGGGGGAAGTGTGTCCAAGGTTCTTGGCATGCCACAGCTCTGGAAAGTCAGATTTAAGCCAGTTTGTCTCCCAAGGTACCAGGAAAGGCCAGGAAAAGCCTGGCTCAGCCAGAGGGCAGCTGGCAGGTTCATCTCTATGGGACACCAACTCAAGATCAAAACCAGGAAATCCGGAGAGGGGGTATCGGGGATCTGACGGTGGGGCTTGGGTCCAAACACACCTTTTATCTAAAGGCCCCCCCCCCCCCCCCCCCCCGTGCTCAGCAACACCACAATGTCGGCCTCCAGGGAGCAATGCATTTGCTTTGGATGCAAATCTTGTCCACCCAGCTTCAGATGGCATCTCAGGCCTAGTTGGCCCTGCAGTGGGTGGGGGGGTGGGTGGAGAACTGGCATCAGAGCCTGTGAAAGCGTTCACTAATCATCTATTCCCTGAGGCCCACACCTGAGTGCAGCCGTCCTTCCCTGCCCCCTGCCTATGTCTGCTGTGCACACTGGACGGCCGGCAGCCTCTGCAGAGGCTCACAGCTCTCTGGGGATGATGGAGAAGGGGAGCACGGGGTTGCTGGCCTCCAGCTCCAGGGCAGTGAGAAAGCAATCGGCGGCAGCCTCATTCTGGCCCTGGTCCTGCAGCACCTCACCCAGGCCCTGCCAGGCTTCGTGGCAGGTGCTCTGTCTCTCCACAGCATCCCGCAGCACCTTCTGAGCCAGGCTCTTGTGGCCCAGTTGACTCAGCATCAGACCCTAGAAATGAAGCAAAGGGCAGGGTTAACAAGACCTGGACAGAGCGAGCCTAGCAACCAGAGAGGGCAGCAGCAGCTTGCTCCTGGCTACCAGCCAGAGAGGCCCTAGGTCTGGCTTGGCCACAGACAAATGACCACGTCCTTTATTCATGCAAAACCTCTCTGTCCCTGACCAAACCCTGCTTTAGCCCTGGAGGAACTAGGTTCCTTCAAGAGACAGGCCTGCAAGTCTAGACCTGATTTTGAGTGGCTCCATGTGGGAGATTCTGGGCCCTCAGTTCACTCTTCAACAAATGGGGAAGAAAGTTAACGAAAAATATCCCAGCATGGCTATTTCGGATGACGCAGCTCAGATGAGTCAGTGGAGGCAAAGCTGTCCAAGAAATGCAGCCAGGAGCATGCCGCCTGCAGCATGGAGCTGCCCCTCACCCCAGAAGCACCAGGAGCGAAGGCACATCTAGTTTGTGACAAGGAGGGGAAGCTTCTCTGCTTGCATCAGAGCCAAGCACCCAGCAGAGCCCACGCTGGCAGCTGAGGGTCACGGGAGGGAGAGAGGGTGAGGGAGAGCAGCTGCTGAGGGGATGAGTTAGAAGAGGCTCAGGGATGTAGAACCTGGAAGTCCAGGTCAGGAGGCAGGAAGCACGGCCTAGCTGTTTAGCTCAACTGACTATTACCAGAACTGGAGGAAGTGCCAGCAATTGTCGCAAAGGGGGGAGAAGTGAAACTGGCAGCCTTGAACACTCTCCCCCCACCCCCAAACACATACTGGGTACAAGGGACAGGGTGGAGGGGCATGAGGAAGGCTCAGGTCCCAGAAAGGCTATTCACTGATATCCGGCCAGGCTCTGAAGGCATCCCAAGATACCCAGAAGTAAGAGTGGAGGTAAATCTCCAGCTCTGACTTCCTGGGTAGGCAAGGGACCAGGGTGAGTGTGGGGAGCTGACTCTGTGCTTGAAGCCCCCTCTCTGCAGCCCGCCCACTGACGGCCATGTACATTTTTAGCTGGATTATTTTCCTCCTCCCTAAGCTCCAGAGAGTTAGGCCTTCGGTTGCTATGGAGATGCACCAGGAAAGATGTACATGGCTGACTTCATAAAGTCCTAAGAGAGCTTGGAACATGACCAATTAGGCAAGAAAGATGGTACTCAGGAAAACTGGGAAAAGGCTAGAGGTGCCGGCTGGAAGTCCTGGGGCCAGAAAGCAGGGAGGCAGAACTGACTTCCAGCACGGCACCTTCCTTTGACCCTAGCATAGACACACCCAAGGAAGGACTTAGCAACCTCAAGCTGTAAAGAGCAGGTGGGGGCAGGGTGTAGCCTCCAAGGACTCTGCATCTAACCAGATACACACAGCTTGCTGACTCAGGGTTGCCAGAACCAGGGCAGTGCCTGGCTGGCCAGCAGTGCTCCAGGCCACACTGTTCCGTCCACAGGGCCCGGCCTGGGGCAGGACCTTGAGTAGCTCACGATGGAACAGGGCCCATAGGGTGGAGGAGGAAGGTGCTAGCAGATGGCTGCCAGACACCAAGATGGGAGGTCTGATGAGGCCTGTGAATGCTGACCACAGAGGCCGGAGGTGGCCAGCAGGGCCTACCAGAGAGGGCACTCTGAGCTTGCTTGCTGGCCCTCTTTTGCACAGCATGTTTTACTGGCAAGAAGAGTTCCATCGCAGAGGAGTTTGAATTTCTAGCTGAGCCTGGTGGTACAAGCCTGTCATCCCAGCCAACTTGGAGGCCAAGGCAGGAGCATAACAAGTTCAAAGCCTGCCTGGGCAGCAGAGTTCTAGGCTACCCTGGGGAACTTAGTGAGACCATATCAAAACAGAGGGAGCTGGGGGTGTAGCTCAGTGGTGTAGCACTTGCCCAGTGTGTGAGAGGCCTTATATTCAATCCCAGGACGACAAAGAGGAAAAGAACAAAAAACAAAAGCATGTTGGGAGGTGGCAGCGCACGCCTTTAATCCCAGCACTCAGGTGGCAGAGGCAGGCAGATCTCTGTGAGTTCGAGGCCAGCCTGGTCTACAAGAGCTAGTTCCAGGACAGGCACCCAAAGCTACAGAGAAACCCTGTCCTAAAAAACAAAACAACAACAACAACAAAAAAAAACCCAAACCCAAACCCCAAACCAAACCAAAACAAAGGAAAGGTATGGGTGTATGGGAAGGAGCCAGAGTGTCTGCTGGCTGAACGTGAGTCTCAGAAGAGGTCAGAGGCCAGGGCTCAGCAGCCAGAAAGCCTGGCTGGGTTGAATCCCAGCTCTGCCATTGATGTACTGTGACCCCAGCAAGCAGTCATCAACCTTCTCCTTATCTGTGAACTGGGGGATGGGACAGTCCTTCCTCACCGGGCCCTTGAGAATTCTGGAAGGAGGGATTTGGAGAAGGCACAGCCAGCTTCTCTGGAGGGGTACCGTGGGTGTGGGGCAGGGAAAGGCCAGCACTGCCCATGTCTTTAGAGGCGGGGAGACGCCAGGATCCTCTCTGTTAGGAAGGGCTGCGCAGTGGATCTGGCTCCTGCCCTCCTGCCCCAACATGCTGACCTTAGAACCTGAAAGAAGACACCAGGCCAGGCTGGGGTCAGGCTAAGGCTGGAGGCCCAAGGCCTGTAACAGAATCTGTGGCCACCTGCCCCTGACACCAGCAGCACTTGTGTTTGGTAGCAACTCAGCACTGTTTGCCGCCTGACAACTGGGTGGGACCCAACCACAGGAAGATGCAAGGTCTCACCTGCTGTCCCCAGCCTGGCTCTGTCCCCAGGGTCTATCAGCACCCTCCCGGCACTTTACTGGCTGTGAGAACAGGTCTCCAGGGAGATGGTGGGAACACAGAGCTGGTGTCTCAGTTCCATCCCATCCACACACGTCCCCAGTGGAGTTGTGTGTCATCCCCTCCGCCCCCACCTGTCCTTCATCTGCTGAGAGCCATCTAGTCCCGCAAGGAGGCCCTTAGCTTCTGACCCTTCACAGTGGTGCTATGACTGGGTTTGGTAGCCATGTACAAGTTATCTGTGACCATGGGATACTACAGTTGCAAGGCACACTTAGGCTAGAAACAGCCACCACTGGTGAGGGACAGGCCTAGGTTCAGTCTCCAGAAATCCCTGTCTCTAGTCCCTCTTTCCCCAGCTCTCAGGGTGGGTACCTCTGCCCTCATCCACATTTCAGGTCTCTGCTCTCCTAGGAAGCCTTTCCTGAGATTAGCAAACCTTAAGAGATACCACCTGTAATGGTAAAAATAAAACACTGCAAGTCCCTGAGTGGTGACAGTGGGCAGAGGGCACAAGACTGACGGAAAGGCACACCATGCATAGTGAAGCTGGATTATTTATTTAGTGGGTTATGGAGGGGAAAGGGAAGGCGGGGGGGGGGGGAGAAGGGGAGAAGAGGAGAGAAAGAGAGAGAGACAGAGAGACAGAGAGAGAGAAAGAGAGAGAAAGAGAGAGAGAGAAACAGAGGGGGGAAGGAGAGAAGTGGGGAGAAGGGAGTAAGGCAGAAGCTGCCTTTTTGGGAGAGAGACGGAAGGGAAGGGGCTCAGACTGCAAGCAAAAGGTCAAGACCTCCCCACCCCAGCTTTTATCTTTCCTACCTTCTACTTTTCCTATCTTTCTCAATCCCTGGCACTTTCTCCTCCGGGCCCTGCCACTGAAGAATGACCTGCTGCATCTGGTCACTGGTGTACTTCAGAAATAGTTCTGATGATATCTTTGCTGTAAGTCTCCCATCTGCCTACGCGGCTAAATTGCAGTCTCCCGTCCCTATTTAAATTGTTCAAAGTTTAATGTGGCACCTCTCGAAGAGGCAGCTTCTGCCTCGCTCCCTTCTCCCCGCTTCCCTCTTCTCTCTCTCTCTCTCTCTCTCTCTCTCTCTCTCTCCCTCTCTCTGTTCTTCCCCTTTCCCCCTTCTCCCTTTCCCCTTCCCTTCCATAACCCACCAAATAAATACTCACTTCCTCTGCCCACCCATCTCAGTCTCTCACCCACCATGCAGCTTCCTGCCTGGGATCCAGCTGTCTTCGTGGCCCACTGTGGTCTCGGGACCCGCTGCCCGCCACCACTCGGGAACCTGCGGCATGGTCTCATGGCCCACTGCGCACTGCTGCCACTCAGGGACCTGCAGCGTTTCTGCTGCTGCACCCCTCAGGGAACCTGCAGCATTTTACTTAAACCATAACACCACCTCCATACCACGTTAGGTCACTGTGGGACTCTTGTGTGCCTCTCCTGGCCTGTACTCTAGGGTGAGAGGAAGCGACGTTTTCCTGCCAGCCTTTCTGCTCTAAGCAGGGTAGCAGGCTCAACAGAAGCCAGGTAGGAGGGACCTGGACACAGAGCCAGAGACACCTGGCTCAGCCTCAAGGGCATCCTGAGGGACCTGTGTCTTGCTGAGGTCTGCTCAAGACAGTCTGGAGACTGAGGGTCTAAGGGCATTTCCCTGTTAGGAGCCAGGCTTTCTGTTGAGCTACAGATTAGAATTGAGGCTACAGTTTGGTGTAGAGAGTGTCTTACTAGCCTTTCTAAGCTCTGTCACTTAACACTGTCTCATCCCCATTGATCCAGTGCCCCACCATGACGTCTCCTAAAGTAGGGGCACAGCAGGAAGGCCAGGCAGGGTTGGGCATGGCTCTATCATTTCTTAGGGAGCCTACCCTGGGAAGCAGTACTTAGTTCTAGGCCAGCTGTGGGCCAAACAAACTGTTCCTCCCCACCCCTGCCCTAAAGTATTTATAGAAGCTATTTTGGGAATTTTCTTTCTGAGCTCCAGGCACATTCTTGGAATTCTGTAACAGCCTTTCCAGCTGGGAAGCTGGGAATCAGCTGGGAGGCTGCTGGAGACAGCAGCTCCCCGGTGGCCCTGTGTGAAGACGCTGCAGCGTGGAGGAGCCATTGCACTGGAAGGCGCCTCTTCAGGAGACTTGGGGAGGCTGCCTGCTTCCAGGTCAGTCCTGGCTCCAGGTTTGATCAGGGGTGTCACCTTCAGCCTGCCCAACCAGACTGGGGACGCGCCC